CCGAATGACTCTGATGCTGTGCTCAATGGGGAATTTGAAGGCGAGGTGGTAGGAGGATATGGCCGCCCTGAGTGCATGGAGGGTCGGCCTCCCAATGATGGCGTTGTAGGGGGATCTAATCCTCATGACTAGGAAATCATTCATCTTCATCACCTGCCGAGGCTCTGTCCCTACTATAACAGGTAGGGTTATTCTTCCTTCCGGCCTGACTACACTGCTAGAGAAGCCGACGAGTGGGACGTCGGCGGGCTGAAAGCGTTTGGGTGTAAGCTTCATCTTATTGAACACATCATAGAAGACGATGTTGGCCGAAGAGCCACTGTCAACCGGTATCCTCTTCACCATGAAGTTCACTACGACGGCCGATATAACAAGCGTGTCGTCATGGGGGACGGTGACCCCCCTTCAAGTCCTCGTCCGTAAAGGTGAGGGCTTCCTACTGCTTTGGCTTCTTGGGAGCTGACCTCTGGATGTTCAGCTACTTGGAATAGGCCTTGCATGCAGAGGCCGAGGCTCCACCCGGCTAATTGTTGGTGCAGCTGATGGGAAGACGAGGCCCCGACCTCGCCTCCAACGTACTGCTTGAGGTGTCCGTGATGGATGAGGGACTTTATTTCATTTTTCAACTCATAGCAGTCCTCGGTATCATGGCCAATGTTGTGGTGATACTTGCAGTACTTCTTTGGGTTTCCCCTCTTGGGGTTCCTCTTCATCTTCTTTGGCCACTTCTCGTACTCCTCTTTCCCGACTTGCATCAAGATTTGAGTTCAGGTGGAGTTGAGTGACGTGTACTGATTGTAGGCCAGGCCTGAGGCTGGTGGCTTCTTGTCCTTGTTGTTGTTTATTGTTTTTGTTGTGGTGGTTGTGGTCTCTGTTCCTTCTTTTCTTCTCTAGGCCTCCGTGGGGGCAGTCGGCCTCTCCCTCCTGACAATCATCAACTGAGGTCTCCTCGGCCACGATGTACTTTTGCGCCTTCTTGAGGAATTTCACCTTGGACTTCGGTAGGGTCTTGGCAACCGAGCCCTTGAAGGTCGAGCCGAGGAGGAGGCCGTCAGGGTTCAAAGTATCGAAAACGCTATGCGTATCGAAAAGGCAAATTTAATAGACGTATTGGGATACACCTTGGATACGCATGGATACGGACAAAAAATTAAGATGCGCATGAAAACACATGGAAATGCTATAAATACTCTAATAATTCATAAATAAACATTAATATCACTAAATATAAGACATAAATGAGCTATTTATGCATAAAAATAACATGTTTTAGTGGGTTTTATGAAAAAAACACATTATAATCAATAAATAGGAAGTCGGGAACAGAAACATACTATCTAATTATGGACATTATAGATCAAGTAATTATTTTGCATGTTTTATTCTAATTTTTTAAAAACTAAATAATTATTTATTTTTATTCAAATAATTATTTCGCATGTTTTATTCTAAAAATTAAATTAAAATTAAAAAAAGTAAACATGTAACAAAAAATTGAATGGATTTATGGGCATAATAGATGAAATAATTATTTTGCATATTTTATTCTAAAAATTAAAAAAAAATAAATATCAATGTTTTAAAACATTGAGGTGTTCCATTACTTAGAGGCATGAAGCATAGTTCAGAATGCAAGAGACGTAAGCCTCTCGAACACAAGGAGGTGAAACCTTCCTTAAGAGGAGGAAGGAGGAAGGGGGGATTTCATTTTTTTCTTTATCTTTAATAAAAATCTTTTATAATAAGAACAACAAAAATGCATAACAGTTGTTAAAAGGGGGGTCTTGTCGAATCGGAGGTCGAAGGGGCAGGGGGCAAACCACTTTCTTTCCCCTTATCTTTTCTAATATTGGCTGAAAATATAAAAGACATTTGAAAAAACATATTTATTTTCGCTCCTTTTTTCACAACCTTGAAAACTTATTGAATCTTGCAAATTTATAGATGTTTTGGCAAATTTTTATAAGATTTGAGTCTTCAGAAAGGTTAAAAAGCTTTTTGAAGGGTTTGGGAAAGAAAGAGGGCTTCTGAAATGGGTTTAAAAGCCCTCTTTCGAAGGGAGTTTTATTTGTGATTCCGCCATAGTAAAATTGTACTGTATCGGTGGCGTATCGACTGATACGGTGCCGAAATGCATCGATACTCAACGATATGGGCACGATACGACATCGATACAACAAATAGATACGACACATTCAATTTGGTGCCATGTACCGTACCGAAAAATTGCCAGAACGATACGTATCGGCCGATACGTGACGAAATTTTGAACCTTTTAGGCTGTTGATGGCAGCGTGCATGGAGACCATGGGGTCGAAGTCTTGGACCTTGAGTTCTTTCTTCTTGAAGCAGTCGATGTAGGACCGTAGACTCTCGTTGTGCTTCTGCTTGACAAACATCAGGGAGACGACACTCTTCTGGCACCACCTACTACTGATGAAGTAGGCGAGGAATAGGCTAGCGAACTGCTCCCACGAGCTAATGGAGCAAGGTGGGAGACTGGAGAACCATCGCCGAGCTGCCTCCTTGAAGGTCGCTTGGAAAGTCCGGCACGTCAGGGCGTCGATGTACCCATAAAGGAGGATGAACGCTTGAAACTTTCTAGGTGATCATCCGAGTCGGTCGCCCCATCGTACATCTCCAAGGCTGGGGCTTTGAAATGCGGGGGTAAGGGCTCGGAGATGATGTTCGAGGTGAATGCGTCCATCCTTCCAAAAGGGTGGCTCTGGTCGATCGAGGCTTCAGCTCGGCTCTCTCTAACTTGGTGGAGCTCGTCCTTGACGACTCTGAGCTGGGCTTATAGGTCCGCGATCCGTGGGTCGAGGGGGGCTTGTGCCTCGTTCTGGTCCTTGCGGACTCGGTGGGGTCTGCCTGAATCCTAGAGTACTCGGATACGGGGCCACGCTCATTCCTTTTGGCCCGATGGTTGTTTAGGAGGTCTTGGAGGTCTGAAACCCATGAGGGAGAGGCGCAGTGTCGGCCCTTGGCCGTCGAAAGGGGGCTGTGGTGGCCCAAGTGCCCGCCTACCTCCTGGGGGTTCTCTCTTTGGCGGTGATGATGCTAATCAGAGTCTCGACTGTTGTTGCGAGACTGTGCTAATTCTTCTCCCCTTCGGATGGGGGGTCTTGAGGTTCTTTGTGGCTGGCTAGCACGTCGGCTGTTGTTGGATTCAGAAGGGTTGGCCCGCGGGAGGTCGGTGGGGCCAAGGGCTAGTAGGTCCGTGGACTCGCACTCACCCTGGTGACCCGAGCTCCCGGCGAGGTGGCCGCCTTGGGGGCGGCTTCCTGCTTGGGGTCTGCCTCATCCACTCATCTGGCGAGGTGATCCAGCCTGTCGAGGACCTCTTGGAGTTCTTCCGCTGTGACTAGGTTTTGGGCATTCCTGGTGTTCCTCACCATGTTGGCTGAGGCATAGGAATTGATTCCCTTAGTTTTAGGTTAAGTTGAGAGAAGTCTTAGCGATGTTCGCATAGATGGCGCCAATTGATGCTCGAATTGGCTGAAGTCAACACAATCAGTTTACTCTCTAGCCGAGGTGAGGGTGAGGGGTCTGAAGCCCAAAATCCTTGGTCTGAGGTATGAGGTCCAAAGGCCGAGGTCCACGGGGCAAGGCGTCTACAGACTTACGAGCTGATCCTACGAGGAGGAAAGGGTCAGAGGCCTTAGGTTCAAACTCAAGGCGAGGACTCCGACGGTCAAATTAGTAGTGAAGTGTAGGGTGAACAAGGTTTGAGGTGCGAGCACCTAGACAAGGCCATTAGGAAATATGAGATCTCAAAGTCTAATGAGAGAGTTTGAGTTCCAGATCCTTTAACTGGAGAGAGTCACCTCTTATTTATGCTTGAGGTCGTTTGGGGGCTGCAGAGCCTAGACGGTCGAGATCGAGTATATAAGCAGGGATCGCGGCCATCCGAGGCCACCAGGTGACCCCGTGCCATTGGTTCCGCGAAGCTCACCGAAGTTGAGCATGCGTGCACCCTGATTGGTCCCAACCTGAAGCGCCCTTGGACACGTGTAGGGCTGCGGTTGGACWAGCCAAACGCGCCTACATCAATACATATCATTATTGAAAATTACCAAATTATCCATAAATAAGTATTTATTATTTAATAACATTTCCTATTAAAGGGCAAAATAATAAGTCATTCAACCATTTCAGCCGTGATGATCAACCAGAGCCAAGAGATGACCTAGATCGGGCAATGGGCAACTTGGAATTGGAATTAATTCTTGACCAAACTATATTCTTACTTATGACAAGAAGGATGGTGATTCCATTGGATTGGACCAGAGAGAGAGAGGCCTCCGCTCAAGGTCTCGCCGATCTGGGTGGCATGTGTCCGGGCTTGTCTGCTGGGATCTGGTGGGCTTTAATTTATCCAATAAGCCTCTGGCTCTGAGTAATGAATCCTCCTATCTTGTATGTCAGTACAGTTGGAGTTGGGCAAGGAATTTTGGGAGTTGCACCTAAAGCGCTGTTTACAAGCAAAAGCAATCCTTTGAATCCAATTATGCCTTTCTTTTCTTTCTGTGTGTATATTCCTTCAAGATGGGACCCGCAGCTAAGATTGTCTTTGAGGAAAAGTATCTGGTATGAACAGAGATAATATGATATTGACCGTACTACCAGAGTATGATAGGACAGGGACTGCCTTACGCGTGTAGTTAATAATTAAAAAATAAAAAATAAACAGAAAAAGACAGCATCCAATGACGACGCTCTCACTCTCTTCACAGTTCTCAGATGAAAGAAAAAAGAGTGACAAAACATAACAACCCGACCAAACAGATAACCAAACAAAAACCAACCAAACAGATCCCCGAAGACTGAGAAGAGTCCAAAAACAGACGAGGAAAAACCGAAAAAGAAAGACAGCTTTCAGGAAGAAAACTTTGCTGGGAAAAATAAAACAAAAAATAATCCTCTTTTTATTTTTATTTTGCCTCCTTTTTTATTTTTTTTTCCTTTCCCCCGTTAAAAAGGTGAGAAAAGCAAAAAAACAAAAATCAAAACCTCTTTAGTTCTCACGGTTTCCATATATTTTTGGGAAATCTATCTATATATCTATCTAATCTATTAGAAATTCTGAGCTGTTCGATCTGCAATCTCGGGTGTATCGGGTCCATCTGTGCTCACTGGATTTCTGCTTCATTGATGGACTGACGCTTACTTCGAAGACGATGAAGTATGGAGCTTTTATCGGTTTCATCATCAATGGCGTCGTTTTCGTAGAGATCTTCTTCTGTGTCTACTAGGTTCGAAGCGAGAGCTCGAAAGAGAGGGTTTTGATTGCCTGCGGAGATGCAGGCGCTGGACTCCGAAACCGCGTCGACGATAGATCTCCAGGCTCCTGCGGTACCAACAGCTGATACGCGAGGCAAGCATCGGATTCTCGCAGAATTGAAGCGCCTGGAGCAGGAAACTAGATTCTTAGAGGTCAGTTTTCTGCTTGAGATTTCTAGTTTTCCTTTTTTTTTTTTTTCGGGTTTGGCTTGTGATCTTGGTTTTCAATTGTTTTAAATTGTAATATATATCAGTGGAAATTTGATTGCCCTAATAATGAATGTCGAACTGAATAAGAGATAGCTTATGAGTTCTCTTGGTTCTGCTTCCTGTTTTCATCATTTGGCAATAGCCTGCCGCTGATGTTTTAGTGGTTTTAGGTCTTAAAGAGGACGGAATTTCATAAAATTTTCATCTTTTTAAGTTTGAAATAATAAGAAATGGTCCTCTGTGCAAGTCTTGCAAGTTGGTCAATGTTTTCAAGTCTTTCAGGTAGGGGGATAGTTTGGCAAGTCTATCATCGGAACACGATATACCGACTCTGAGCAGTTAAGAATCATTTAGTGGTTGGGCTCTTAACTCCAGTTTCGAGTCATTGTTTGGGGTTGGGGGACTTTGAGTAGAACAAGATTAAGAAAAATGCTTTCTACGGTTGATGAGAACTTGTAGTGAAGTGGTCATTTGACTTTCATAGGCTTGGGGACCCCTTATTTCTATGCACTTTATGGAGGGAAAGTAATGCCAAATTGTCAATATCTCAGTTTAAGCTGAAATTCTTCCCTCCCCTATTCAGACCATCTGCTTAACCTTGTCATGAGTGGTCTTTGTGATCTATGCCTAGTTTTGATCTGTACAAAGTGGGGATTCACGGTACAAGACCAGTAGAAAACGTCTTTTGCTGTAGCCAGGACCAGGTAACCACATTTTTCTAATCAAAATAAAAACCATCTCCTTATGGCATACTAAATGTATGTTCATGCCATAGTTTCCTGAACCATTGAGAAGTGAGAAAAAAATGATGAGGCAGTTTACAAGTTCTCTCTTTGATTGCCCATAACCAACAAAATTTGGATTGCAAGTATGTGTTAATTTTGATTCTGAAAAGTATATCCTAATAATAGACATAAATTCTTTCCTAGTAAATGGGCTAAATATCCATTTTCCAATCAAAGTGCCTTTCCATAGTTGATCCTCATAACTAGAAGATTTGGGTCGTGTTTGCATGGCTCTGGACTGGCAATTTCGTGCTTCTCACGTTAGGAAGCTAAAAGCCAGGTTGTAACTGTTTGGCATGTTGGGTTGAGGCGTTCACTCCTTATGGATAATTTTGAGCCATTTTATCAGATAAGCAGGGGCTACTTTTTATTGACTTCTGGGTTCTACATTTTCAGTGTTTATAACAATAAATTTCTCCTTGTGCCTATGCATTTTCAATAAAAATTATCCACAAGCAGAAGCACTTCTTATGGATAATCTTTAACCTATCGGTTTAAGCCCTCCCAAACACCACCTTGGTATTATAACTTTCTTGTTACTTATTACATAGTATCTTAAAGGAATCAGATAGATAGAGGTCAATGTCTGCTTCAGATTTATACTCTTTTTTGGTTGGTTATTTGTTTATTCAATGTTGAACTTGAAAATTTTCAGCTTGAAACTTGGTGGAGCTTTGGATGCCCTAATTGATGGCAATTGAAACAAGAAAAGAATTTTCCTTTCTGGAAATAGCTTAGCATCTGTCTTGTTTTCCCTTGCATTTATTTTATTCAGCAATTTCCATTCTGTGGATTTGGTAGCGATCTTAAGTTTCAATGAGTATGAAGCTTCTATCTTTTGGTTTAGATGCTTATTTTAGTCACACTTACAAGTTGGACAAGGTTTCAAGTTTTAATACGAGGTATAGTTTAGTGAGTTGATCAAAACTGGCTAATGAATTTAATTTGGTTAAGACCATTCCTCTTACCGTACAACATTGTGGAACTAGTTGTGCTGTTACTTGTGCGAAAAAGTAACAGTCGGGCTGGCAAGCATGATACGCCAAAGGTTACGACTGCACCCAGTCTACCCCCTCCCGAGACTCCAGATAGCTGGGACCAACATTGGGTATGGCAATGAATTTAATTTGGTTAAGACCATTCCTCTTACCGTACAACATTGTGGAACTAGTTGTGCTGTTACTTGTGCGAAAAAGTAACAGTCGGGCTGGCAAGCATGATACGCCAAAGGTTATGACTGCACCCAGTCTACCCCCTCCCGAGACTCCAGATAGCTGGGACCAACATTGTGTATGGCATTTTTTTTTGTGCTGTTAACTCTAATTCCAGATGGCCATTTGAGGTTTGTGAACCTTGAGTTCAACCAAATAACATGCAAGTGTTTTGTAGTTTGTTGTACATATGATAGAAAATTATTAGTCTATGGCTTTTGAACTTCCAGACGACCATAGACTTTGGAAAACCTTTTACTACTTTGGCATGTGCATAGAGGGGAAGGTATAAACATGTCAACAAAGAGGTGAAAGTTTCCCGTCCTTGCTATTGGAGCCTCTTCTGAACTTTTTGCTATGACTATTGTGTGGTCTATGCGTACCACTGCTCTAGATAGTGGTAGGAAGTTCTTTAGCTCTTGATGTCTTTAGTCATCTCTCTTTCTTGGAATCATGATATCTTGTGCCACTGCCACCTCCACCTGGTAAGCCCATATTTTCATGGGATTAGCCAATCTGCACTATAAGTTTTGTCCCTTTAGACAGATTTTGGGGTTCATATTGATTTGGGCCAAGAGACTTTTCTTGCATTGTTCTCTTAAATGAACTGGACGTTTACCTTAGCTAGGGCTAGAGGAATGTTCATAGGCATATAATTGTAAGTGATCTCCTGTAGTGATGAGTTAGTTTGAAGGAACACTTTTTCCTCCACTCCTTTTCCTGAACTATAAGACATGCCAGATAGTGCATGACTGCTATCTATGAAAGAAAAAAAAAATAGTGCATGACTGCTTATCAACCAGTATACGAGGATACTGTACATATAATTTTCTATTCTGCTTTACTAAGAGCTTCTTTCTTTTTCAACAACATTCTGACCACTTTGTCTTTACATAAATACATAGAAATTGTTGCCTGATCCTGAGGATAGAACATTCTATTCTGACAAGTAGATGGATGCACATCTCATGATCTTTCAATTAATTCTTGTTCTCCTGATGTGCTTTCTTGTAATATTTAATAACTACTTGCAGATCAAGTGTATACCCTACTCTAGTTGCTTCTTATTTACAATGGAATTTTCTGAGATTTGTTGCGCCCCCAAGTGGGATCTTATATGAAGGATTCATAGAATCTAGTTGAGATTATTTTTTGATCTTCTAGATTTGGAAAAGCTATCTTTCATCACATAATACTTCAACCAAGGATCTAACTACCTGAAAGTTGCCTTCATTAAGAATTTTTTTTTTGTTTGATTCTCTCTCTCTTTCTCCCTCTCTCCCCCTGTGTCCCTGTCACAGTGTGCCTTCATTAAGAATTTTGCACCCAGTACCTCATATACTAATCCGTTTGGACACCCTTGGTCCATTTGAGAGTGCAGAATGATTAGGGAAAAGGAGGGCAAAATTCTGTTGATGACTACTATTCTTCAAAATCAAGCAAAGACCACCTAGGTTATATGCAGCTGTGCAGGTCTGTAATGATTTTAGCAAGTCAAACCCTAGCAAAGCTTTCAAAGGTTTGAATGAAGTTTTGGTAAATTTGAAACTTCTCTTGTTCAAGTTTTAGGCTTTTGCATCATCTTCAGAGTTTCTTCTTCTTCTTTCAGGGACTGTTCAAACTTCCTAGGAGAACTTTGATGCTTCAAACTGTAATTTTATATATTCCAATTTCTTCTCCTTTTCTTTCCTATTTTTTCTGTCTCTAATCTGATATTCTCTTTTATTAAATTTTCTCATCTAACTCTATGTTTTATTCTGTCTTATTTCATCTCCATTTCTGGACCAAAACTAGAGGAGTTTAACATTCTCCATAGACCATTTGAGTCACCTCGAAACTGGAATCAATTGTCAAAATTTAGAACTTTCATCCTTGCTTGGAAACCTTTGACTGCTTTGTTTTAGCCTCCAGAATACTTGGTTTTGCAGGAGACTGTTAACCTGACTTTCTTATTCTCATGCTTTGCTTGAGAAAATTGATTATGTAATAAATGTGCTTTGGAAATCATTTGCACCGCAAAAGATGCTAATAATAATTGTCTTGGTGGGCTTTCATTCAAGTACTTGCAAAATTTTAAAACTCTTAATGCCATGGTTTTCTTCCCTAATAGTAGCTAAAACCATCAAGACTGTTTAGGTGAAGCATTTCGCCCAGCAGTTTACCATTCCGTACATTAAGGTTTATTTCCTTGATGGTATCTTTTGATGAAAAGGAATAAAAATGTGTCTCCCACACTAGATGAGGCTTCAAAAGAAAAACAGACCGGACAAGGGAAGTATTTATGGGGCCATTTGGGTGATAAACTTGCAGATTTCGATTACCAAAATGCCACAGAGATGCCTCAGCCAATCACAATATTTCAGCCAATCCATACTGTTGCATGGACATGGGGGTCAGAATCCGAAGTGTTCCCAAGAGTCTGAATCCAAACGGTTTGGTCCCGTTCCTCCTAATTGGTGGGGGTGCCATGTGACTATCTCTATGTAAAATCATATACTACTAAAATAGTTTTTCTATATTTACTTCTAACATTATGCACATGCAAAAAGGGGTCAAAAATTCTGCTCCATTCCAAGTAATGTTGGATGGGAAAAATGTTCATCTTGTACATTAGCTGTTTGTTTATGCCAAATAAGCTATAATGATGCAAAGGAAATGTTATGCATGAGTGTCCTCAAGAATACATGGAGTGTGGGACTCCAAAACACATCATCCATTTATGAGAGTCCACGCAACACTCTGCACTGTATGCCCAATAGAGTTGGACAGTTTTGGCTGTTATTCCAAGTCAATGCCCCGGTACTTCTACATGGTTTGATGATTTGATCCAGGGTTAACTAGCCTTTTTATTGGATATTCACTCATACTTGATGCCTCTTTAGCGTGTAATCAGTTTGTTTACTTTGGTTAAATCTGTTATTGGCGTTGCTGAATCATTATATGAAACTGCTACAATAATCTCACTTTTCCTTTTACAATTGATTAGGTTGTGTTCCTGAAAACTTGTTTCCCTAAAATGCCTGCAGGAAGAACTGGAAGAGCTTGAGAAAACGGATAAAGTGTCAGCTGCATGCGAGGAGTATGTGTCAGAGATAGAGATCTCTAGTGTTAAAAAATGATTTCACATGTTATGCGACTTCTAATTTTATTATTATTATTATTATCAATGTTTTTAACCCATTTTGAACTGTCACCGGTCAAGATTCTGGATCCAGTTTGAGTAAAATCGGAGAAGGTCAAAAAACTGTTGACTTGGTCATAACTGTCTGACCTGGATGGTTGGATCGTTGACCCATTTGACCTGGTGATTGGGTCGTGGGTTACATACTGTGTCAGGAGGCCATAACTTTGCACTCTGGTGTCCAATTGAAGTGATTTTTTTTTGGATAATTTTTCGAGATCTATGCATTCCAAGGTGTGCCTTACCCTTTTTTAGTCTCAAATTGCAATTTTTAATATTTTTTATAAATTTAAATTTTAAAATTGAATTAAAAAATAAATTAAATATAAAATATTTTATATATTATATATAAAACATAATTATATATATTGAATTTCCATATGACTGACATGGCATGGTCTGACCCAGCAAGTCAAACTGGTGACCTGCGACCCGGAGGCAAAAATAGTTTGGCCTCTGGGTCAGTTTTTAAAACACTTTATTATTATTATTATTATTATTATTATTATTATTATTATTATTCATTCATTCATTCATTCATTCATTCATTCTAGGGGACTAATTTTTTTTTTCTTTGTTGTCCAACAGATTGCTGACAAATATTGAAACTCGACCGGATCCACTACTTCCAGTGTAATTGCTTCCTCTCCGATACTTTTGTGCAATGTTATTCTAAGCTGCGTTTTCTTCCATAAATACAAATATTTACCCCGACTAAACATTCGTATATTCTGGTTTGACAGAACAAATGGCCCCACCAACCCATCTTGGGATCGATGGTTTGAAGGTCCACAAGATTCTAAAGGTTGCAGATGCTGGATACTCTGATCACTGTCCATCTGCAGATTTGCATTTGTTTGTCATTTGTTGTCAGAGGCTTAAAGATATGTTTATTTACAAATGTTACAAACACCTGTTATTTTTAAAAAAATCTTAGATGAAATAGAAATGCTCGATTGTGCACAAAAACAATTTGTTTTTTAGGCAAATCAAAATGATAATACAATTTGTCAATCTACTCTGGCAAAGCCAAATATGGATGGTACTTGTTGGTAGAAATAGAGAAGCTTCTCTTTTCAGTTCTCACCCTTCCAACAAAACCCATTAATGGAAGTATCAATGTGCCAACAGAAAAGCATCCCGATTCTTCTAACTGGTAGCTTTCCCAGTCACTCGCTGGGCTATCCACCCCAAACCGTCATATAATCCTTCTCCTGTGAGGGCACAGCATGCTTGGATGTGCCAATCATGATTCTTGATGCTGTGGAGTGAAAGTACATCTGTGATCTCAGCTGGGGGCATGGCATCCTTGAGATCCTGTTTGTTTGCAAATACAAGTACGACAGCATGCTCAAGATCTTCATGTTGTAGCAACCTGAATAATTCATCCTTGATAATGCTGATCCTTGCTCTGTCAGTGCTGTCTATCACCACAATGATGGCATTAGTGCCGCTGTAATATGTTGCCCACGATTTCCTTAGTCGTTCTTGTCCACCAAGATCCCACACCTGAACAGTGCAGTTTGTGATTAAATAAAATTCTAACGGTCATCCAAGAAATCTCGTCTTACAGTCACGACAGACAGGCAGATCAATCTACGGCAGCAGGAAAACAGGGACTTGATCAGAAGGCATGCCAGCCGTGTTAACAATGGTTCACCAGATGCCAAAGCAGTTAATAAAACAAAACAAACCTGGGGAATGAAGCATTTATCAAATCACTTCTTGTGAGTCTTTAACTTCCCAAAGTAGACAACGACTACCACTTTTAGGTTTTAACAAAACCCCACCTCCCAAGTCCCAACCACCACTAACACAAAAAAAAAAAAAAAACCCGAAAAGAATATATAGAAAGTACATCAACTTAATTTACTTACGCCCAAAAAGTAATAGGATTTCCTTGTAATTATGGGCTTATTTGTTCAATGCACACGTTCAAGCCTCCATTGAAATATTTGGTCCATAAACCTCCTTTCAGCAACCCTAGATTATCCATGATGACCCCCTCCAACTGCCACGTACCACCAACAAGAGAGCTGCTGCCACGATGAAGCTCTACCCTTGAAAATAATTAAATATCATAATTTGTATTACAACTTCTCAAGTCTTTTCTTCATTGTCCTTTTAAGGTATTCAATTTGCCCCCTTTTTGCTGGTGCTCTCATCATCCCATTCAACTTTCCCTAATCCTGTACCTACTAGGGCTACCACTAACTTCCAACTTCTACACTTAAATGGATCTTTAATACATTCATTATAATTTTACCTTACCCCTGTAGTCATGCTACTCACCCAATTCAATCCTCATCGCGGAGACTCTTCATACAGATCTGCCATTTATTGATTGAGCAATATTTTTTCCCACAACAATTTCCTCTAATGCAAATTGGTATCAGTTGCTACTACTTACATTTGGAATTTCTTGGATCAAGTTTCCCATCCAGTAACTGGATTAACATATCAGTTTCTACAATACATCCCAAATCCTCCAAATGTGCATTAAGACTCCTTCCACCATCACCACCAATAAATAAATGAATAAAATAAAGAATAAGAGTACAAATAAAGCATGTTTAATTCAGTGATATCCTATAATACCTTGTTAAGAAATTAAGACCAGAAGTCTCCATTAGGTCCACCGCCCTCAAACAACTTCAACAAGTGTAATCTCTCCCTTAATGGTGGATGGTTAAAAAGGGAAAAAAAAGAACTAGGAAAGAGTTCTCTCCAGCTTGCTTTTGTCTAAGGTGACTCTTTAATGGAAAACTATTTAAAAGTCCTCTGTTCCTTCTTTACAAATTATAATAACTGGTTCAAAAGTGTGTTCTTGCTTAAAACATGACCTTATGCAAATGGCCCAGTAGCATCATCCAAGAACCTATACCTAGCCTAAACAACAATTAATTGTGCCACATTTGTATACAAAATTATGCTTTTCTAATTCTCATCATTTGTCAGCATCTTTATATCTAGAGACAGGAAACGAATCCAACATAAACCTATGAATTAATCAACTTTTTCTTTTTCTTTTTCCTTGTTGTAAAGGTTTCAAGCAACAATGATTTGTTCTTGGAAGAATGGGTAGCTTTTGAAGGATATAAAGAAAAAAAGGTATATCAAGGAAAGAAAATAATAAACAGATAATGGGAATCTTTGTGCATTAATTACATTAAAAAAAATTTGGTGCCAAACAATTAAACTCCAAAAGCATGGTTTTAAAAAACGACCCACTGTTCTGGCCACCGGTTTCCGGGTCGACGGTTCGACCGTCCGGTTCAAACAGATGGCCCATTCTGACAACAAAAATTAAAAAAATAAAAATAAAAATAAAAAATGGCAAAAAATGTTGAACGGGTCTACCCTTGACCGAACTTTTTTGGCCAGGGACCGGGTTTGGGGTAAAATGGAACCGGTTGCCTAGACGGTTCCTAGGCCGAATGGTCTAACCGTCCGCATCAACGGTGGTTCGAAAACCATGTCCAAAAGCAATAATTTTGAGTGGAAAGGAGAAAGACCTTAAAGTTTAATGCCTTGTCCACCCTCAAAATAATGCAGTCAAAAATCTTATAAGTTGCTATTCAATACACAAATGATTTAAGGAATTTGTATATGGACACTATTGGATAATATTATTAAATCATCTAGGGAATATTTTTCAGATATTACTTAGTCAAAATTTGAATTCAATTGATTAGGACTATTTCCAGACCTCTCTGAAAATGATTCACCTTTCCTTTTTGTTTTGGAACACCCTTTCTTCACTGAAGTTTTACTTGGATTCTTTTTACAATATTTGAAAGGATTTAAGGATTTGGGATTTTGAAAACCAAATATTCTGCTGAGAGAAGGTAGTTTCACCACTTCTAATTAGAATTTAATTCCATCTAATCCAGTATTCTTCTAAATCAAAAAAGGATGAAAAGAGCATAGATTTCTTGGTTGTCTGCATGTCTTAGAGAAAGAAGGATATTTTTCTAAGAAAGACCACACAGCTTTTGATTCTTTATTTTTTCCACTTCCTACATTGTTAAGGGAGTATATGGTAGTATAATTACATTTACATGACATGAGAGCCTCGTTTTGAGATTGATCAAAAGATCAAGTTATATTTTCGGTTTAAGTGTGTAACTATCATTGAAAACAACTAACTGGGAAGAGGTTACCTAAAATATACAAAGAACATAAATTAGATCCCTGTTGTCTGGACATTCCCAAAAGTTTCGGATTTTACTGCTCGAAAATTATTGGAAAGGGCATAAAAGAGGAAAATATCTGTAAAAAAGAGATTTTTCTTTTACCTCCATGATAGAAACCTGGAGGTAGAAGGAAAAACTTAGATCTTTAGTACTGGATAGTTTTGTTTAAAAGAAAAGGTGGAAATAAAAAGGAATAATAAGCTACTCTATACCAGACAATGTACTAGAACTTTCCCGAAGTGATATTAACCAAACAGAGTTTCAATTGGCTTCTTGTGACACATGGCTGAGGCTCTCTGCTGGAACTTACCCAGTAAATATAGCGTACACAGGGAACATAGAGGTTCTCTGTGGGACCCTGAACATGGCAAGCAAGGTAGAGACCTTGTATGTGTACACATTCTTTTCTAAACAACCCCAGTAGAAAAACCATTCCCAATAAAGATTGACCAGGGAGGAGTACATACAATACTTTACATGACCACAAAGGTTTAAGCTTCGTATAGGAGACCAAATAGGAAAGGCGGGGTGTGAATAGGGGTAACTCTTTTTTATCTTCCCTTTCTTTCCCTTTTGAGGCTAATTGGGTTAGTTGAGTAAGATAAAATATGGAAGGTAGCATTGAAATTGAAAGGGATTGAGAAATTGGATCACAAGCATTTTACATGACACACACACAAATGCACATTAACAATAAGATTTATCCTAATTAATCACCTGATCAGCGGATTTAATCCTCTGTATTTATAGTGTAGATAAGTACAAGCCTGAAGATATTCTAAATCGTAGTCCCATGTTGCACCTAGATCACCCCATTTCTGCAAATGCTTTCACCTTTTCCTCTTTACAACAGTTTCTGGTATCTAGTGTTCAAACAAGTTTATCTTCTTCAAACAGTTTAGGGAGGCAGAGTAGCTTATTAATATTCGAGATACTGATAAATCTATTTTTTCTGTAAGAGGAATTTGCTTATATCACTTGCAGCAAGAGGAAATTAGCCACAAAATCCATTCGTCATCAGACATGGAACTTAGTTACAAGAAATGCAAGAGATAAGAATTCATTACCAAACAGCGTTAGAGAGCAAAAGGAAAAAGATTATCAAGGCAAACTTACCTCAAACCGAATGTTCTTGTATACAATTTCTTCGACATTGCTCCCAACGGTGGGATGTGTAGTGACAACCTCTCCCAAGTGTAACTTATAAAGCGTGGTTGTCTTTCCGGCATTGTCCAATCCAACGACCACTATCTTATATTCCTTCGCTGGAAACAACATGAACCATAATCTTGATATAAAGGCTCCCATCTTCTATTCAAATTGAGCAAAACCCTTTGATCTACAGACAAAAGAAACCACCAAAATTGATCAATCAACATATAACGAAAGAAAACGACCAAACGTCATGAAACACAAATGTAACTGGAGAAAATCCAGAATTACAACAAATGAAGATCAGATTGCCTAAAAACTTTTGCATCAACGCGAATCAGTTCTGCAGGAAAAAAGTTCAAAACAATTTTAGCAAAAATAATAAAGGAAAACAGACATTTACCTAGGTTAAGAGACAGGATAACGGGTGAGCTGATTCTGGTTGTCTAATTTGGAAAGGAGAGAGAGAGAGAGATAGAGAGAGATCGGATGGTTTCCTGATCCTCTGGTTCAAACTTCAAAGAGATGGAAAATGATAGTAGAGAAACCCTACTCCGTGAAAGAACCGCAACGGAAGGAGAAATGGCAAAACAGAGTCTGCTGTCAGCTCCGAGCTCGGATCTGGTGCCCCACGCGTAACCACAAGATACTACAGCCACACGTCAGGATCATCTCCGCATGAAAGATACCAGATCATGAATGATAAATGAGATGTTCCCGATGTACGGTTGCACTGGTGTATGTAAAGTAATGTTGTGGATAGCAGATCTGGACTCGACAGTTCCCGCCATTGCGGAGTGCTGACGTGCACCGCTTCATGGGACTCGGGAACGGAACATACGGCTTGCACCGGAGAGCGGATCTACTCCACTCTCATGGCGCCTCACACCGATCTCACAGTTACATTCCACCGTGCATTAGAAACATCTCCCCCTATAATGTAATTTTTCTTCTAACCTCACCTTATTGTTTCCCCGCAAAGAGAATCGGAATCTGCTACTCACAGAACGCATCTCATACGGACTTTACAGCATCATCCCACCGTGTATTGGAAATATCTCCCATGAATAACAGCACAAAAGATGGAAGATGTTGCCAATACAAGGTGAGATAAGGCTGTGAGGCCCATGTGAGGTGGTGCATTCTGTGAGGAGCAGATTCGGACTCCCACAAAGCACCTCACTAAGGGTGTTAATGGATTGGATCATTCGATCCTATTTGGTCAAATTGGGATTACCCCTCTTCATATTGGATTCTAATCACCCCTTATCTGATCCAATATATGTTATATACTTATAAATATAAATATATATAATACATATATATATATGTTATTTATTTATTTATATTGTATTTTTATAAATTTATTATATTATTATTTTTTATAAATATATATATATATATATGATGAAAATAATTAAAAAATAATTGTATTTTTGTTTTTTAATTTAAATTAGTATATTTTATTTTTCTTTTAATAAATTATTAATTTTTAAAGAAAACAAGTCGAATCGGATCATATCCAAAGATCTAACTTACTGACAGAATTCGAATTCAAATTGAGGTCTATTAGATCCGTTCTGATCGGATCCGATATGAACAGTGTTGAATCGGATTTGGATATACTGTTATTTGAATCTAATCCGATCCGTTTGCATCCCTACACCCAAATCGGATTCTACATGAACAATGTTGAATCGGATTTGGATATACCATTATTTGAATATGATCCGATCCGTTTGCATCCCTACGCCCCACAACCCATCTCTTTCTCGTACATCTTCCATGCTTGTCATAGGGAGATGTATTCCCAACTCATAGAAGGTAGACCTGGCAATTGGGTTGGGTGGGTCGAGTTTGGGTTGGGTCAGCAAATGCTAGACCCTAGACCCTAACCCTAAATATTTGGGTTACAGTTGAACCATGGGTCAATTCAGGTCATCCCTAAAAATAATAGAAATTGTATAAAATAAAGAAAAAATACATGAAAAGTGTCAAAATTAAAAGAATTAACCTTAAAATTCCAAACATAAAAGAAAAAAAAATTAAACATTCAACAATTCAAAGGGCAAACGATACTGAGTAAAGATGAAAGAGAGAAAGCTTCTAAGAATACATAAATAGTCTCAATTAGACCTAACAATCGAGTCAGTGGATTGAGCCATGACCCAACCCAACCCAGGTTTTTCTGGGTTGAATCGGGTCAGGTCATTCTCAAAACTGTGTAGCTAAACATGAGACCCTAATCTTTTTTCGTGTTGGATTGGATCAAATTTATGGATTGAATCAACTTTTTGCTAGGTCTAACAGAAACTATGGGATGTGGGGGAATTGGGAACTGCTCTTTACGGAGCGTGCCTCACACCGGCGTTACAGTCACATCCCACCCTATAGAAAACATCTCCGATGTTTGAAATGTACGACTAGGACATGCTGTGAGATCGATGTAAGACGCGACCTGTAAGGAGGAGATCAGATCCGGATTCGATGTAGAGGCGCTGTGTGGGAAGTCCATCCTCCATCCCGTCTCCTATAGACATGGTGGGACCTACGAAAAAGATACGCCAGGAACAAATCTAACCAATTGCACGAGGGTTAATTTAGATGTGGGTCGAGTTTGGTTATAGCTGGTTGTGATTAAACCAGGGGAACTTGATGTTGTGCATTGAGTCTAATATGGCATAACATAAGGAACAGGGACGGATCAACTTGCATTTGTCAAATTCTAGCTGATACTTCATCATAGGCGGGTTGGATTCATTGGATTATCTTAAAATTCTTCCGAGTTGGATCAAGATTCAGATTTGATTAATTCGGATCCAGATTAACGCAAACCAGCTCCAAATGCAACCGCTCCATGGCCTTTAGTTTTTAAACGACCTGAAACAACACCAATGGGTGTTTGCTGGAAAAAGCCAGCTAACATACACACAACTGACCCACCCCTCAACCTGTCGGTGTGATGCTGCATGAGGGGTTGGTACTGTGCTTCAATTGAGTCCGGATCCGCTGATCCGAACACATTTTTGGTCACATTCATCCAATTGGGAATACGGTGAAATAAAATATAATGTGTATCTGGGTGAATATGGCCAGCAAGCAATGTGTTTTGTTCAACTCTATTCAAACGATTTAGACATATAACCAAAAATAAGTGGCCATTTCAATAATTGAGAGCCACAACAGCAGCTTAAAACAATAGAATAAATTTGATTTGCTTTCTTTTAATTCTTTCATCTCCTCTAAAAGAAATTATCAAAAACAAAACCAACCAGGTTGTTGAAACACCTGAATCTTAGGTGTGGTGGCAAACTATTGAAATTCAAAAGTATCCTCTAAATTCCTTTTTCTATTCATTGAACATGTGTGTCTAATCCGATAGGCCCCTATTAGATAAGAATGGCAATGGGGCGGGGTGGGGATAGGGAGCTACTTCTATCTCTGCCATGGGGATAAAGGTTATCCCCATCTCTATCTCCACGGGGATCCCCACTTTCCATAATTTTTTATAATGTTAATTATTTTGTTTTTGTTTTTTATTTTATTTAAAAATTAAAAATAAAATAATTAAAATTTACAATATTATTAAAAATGATTTAAATATATTCAAACATATTTAACCATATTTTTATAAATGTTAATATACATACATACATAGATGTATGCATACATATATACATATATATTAGTAGGGATCTCCACGGGACAGGGATCAGGATCCCCACAGGGTGAGGAGTATTCTCTCTGTCCCTGTCCCGTCCCCATCAACAGGGATGATAATTTCTCCATCCCCATCCCCGTCCCTACGGGAGAAAATCCTCCCCATCTCCAATTTAAGGCGGATATTGGGGAAATGGGGAAAATTGCCATCCTTGCTATTTGATAAGTCAAGATCAGCTGAATACATGATGCTGGCCGATCATTAAACCTAAGGACACTCATAGTAAACATCTCTTGCAATTCATACCGTCATTCATGAGATGTTCCCAATGTGTGAATGTAGTGTCTCATGTCAGTGTTCAATGTTTTGTTCTCAGCAGATCTAAACTCTTATTTTAGTTTTTGATAAAATAAAATTGCCCATTAAATGGGATTCTATAAGGCTAAAAATGGTAACAAAAATTTATGGAAACATAAAAGAATAAGTGTCACATTGAAAATAGTTAAGCAGGTAAATGTATTTACCCAAATAAATTACTTACCGGGTAAGTGTCACTTTAAAGCCCCGCCCCATCAGGCCCCATTGCCATTCCTAGTAATGAACTGAGCGTTGAGGGATGATCAGTTCATTAATACCCTGCAATTAGCCGTTAATGTAATAATTTAGGATCCGCCAAGGAGTGTCTGTGGCTGTGGTTGTATGGTCATGGTCTCCACTGAATTTGTAACAAAGGGTAAGCGCATCTCAAAACTTCTCCAAGACTCCAATGTGCCAACCAGCTGGTTGGTAAGGTCGCTATGAGTTGGTGGATGGTTACCCCCGTTGTGTAGTCCTAATTAAGGATTCATTATGGTCCACGTGATATCTCCAAAGGCTAATCACCAGGATTATCAACCTGAGAGTTGAAGTAGTGAAAAGTACCCCTCGTACGATAGGAGAGGATTTCAATACAAGAATAATCTTAGGCTCAGTTTTGAAAGCTGGGATGATATCTTTGTAATTGTAATGGAATTTCCAATGTGAGGTAGAGGAAAATGGAATTAATCATTGGGCTCAATTTGGAAAGAGTAGACAATGACATGGACTATGAGATTGAACGTGTAGGTGGTATTTGGAAAATATGAACTCTAAAATCTGATCTTTAAAATGTAAGAATTCAATGGTTAATGTCATGGTTTTTAAAATTGAATTGGTCAGGGGTTCGGTTACCGGTTCGAATGGTTCGGCCATTCGACTTGAACAGCTGGTCCATTTTGATAAAAAAAAATAAAAAAATAAAAATTTTAAAAAACGGTCAAAACTATTCGAATTATTCGAATGGTTAATCAGCCAATTTAGCGATTTGTTGATCAAAATCAACGGTTTTAGAGGAAAAAGCGGGTTTGGAGAAAAATGACCGATTTCCGATTTTCCGGTCCAACCGTCCGATTTTAAAAACCATGGTTAATGTCAAACAAAATTGTGATAGGGCAATATTAATTGTTCAAATAATATCTTCATTTAATGTTGAATCAGATCACCTTGAACTTTAAGGAGACCGCATCTGCTGCTCACAAAGCACACCTTACACCGACCTCAAAACACTTTTCAGCCGTGCATATGGAACATCTCTCATGAATTAAAAATTTATAAGTACAAGATATTCCAGGTGCATGGTTGATACATGCTGTGAGATCGGTGTAAGACGCACTCTGTGAGGAGTATATCCAAATTCCTCTAAATAAAACCTCCCTTCCGTCATTGACACAGACTAGAAATGTATAAACTTATGAAATTACCCTTACCCCTGACTAATCTGCACAGCGTCATTTAAAATTCCAGATTGCCCTCATTTGAGCACAACACTTCCACAATTGGTTACCGTTCTTTTTCAGAGCAAAAAGAAAATAATGCAACTTAACACCACTAAACACTTGCAGCGGTGCCATTGCTCGGAATACTAAGAATTGCTAAAATTTAAAACATACACGCAAATGATTAAGAAGAAACAGATCGTTAGGTGTTTCAATATAAAGCAAACAAGACCATGTAAATGAATCACTGCGACTATGGTTATGGCAGATGTGAATGAGTGTCGATCATCTCTTTCTCTCTCCCCCGCTCTCTTGATCTCCCTCCATCGGTCGACTGCTGGTAGAATTTGGTTCTGTTAAATAGAAGCAGTCAGTGTTTCTGAAGCTCTTTCATTTCAATACAAGGATAAAAAGCCTATCTAAAATCTCCACGTGAGCCACGTCTACCTGCTATATATCATCTGTTCTCTATTCTCATAGACTTTACGTTGGGAGGTCTTGAAAAGCCCAAGGGGAAGAATCCGACCAGCACTGCATTTTGGATGATAAGTTGAAAAAATGCCACTTATTACCATTTGTTCGTCTTCTTCAAAGTAACAAAGGTGCTTTTTAAAAACACGTATTGAGTATCCACTAGGCCAAAATTCTTTCTCAATTCAGGGCTTGCCCATTACAGTTTGCATGCCATTTTCAAATTCACTTCCTCAATAGAAGCTCCTGCTCCTCTCTCTGTCTCTTTAATTGCACCACTAGTCTGTAATCTATAGTTTCCCATTCACTTGGGGCTGGGTGAAGCCTAAAGTGGACTCCCATGCGGTTCTTTCTGAGTTACCCTCGAGCGATCAAACGAGAGACAACAGATAGACAAGCAGACAAAGAACCAATGACTGTGTATGTGAAAGGCCCGATCTTTGTTGGCTTGGTGTTGCTTCTGTTTCTGGCCGGGGATCGCCATCTACTTCAAGCTTTTGAAGACTAAGATTGGATGAAGTTTGATTCCATCAGTTTAGTACTGGCATATATTGCATCAGTTTTCTTTAATTTCCCACTTTTTTCCTTGTTTGATGGTCTATGGTTGTTGATATTTTTTGGCTCTTGTTCTTCTTTCTTTCTTTCTGACGATTAATTAGGGATGGTTTTATAATTTTATATGTTTTCCATCTAATCAATGACAGAAGGGATTTTTTGTTGAATTTTCTAAAAGTTTAAGGGAGGTTTTTATTAAAATGAAATTAAAGAAGAGGTTTTTTATAAGAAAAACGGTCTAAGTCTTCAATCGTCCGCCCCCTTATTAACTGCCACCCTAGATTAGGACCTCCGCCTTAGAGGGCCGGTTGAATGCGATTTTAATTATTCTAAAGCGGCAATCACACAAAGCCGTCGACTTAGCATTAATCAGACTGCGGTTTTGACCGCCGGCTTAGATACCAAAAGACCGCCGTTTTAGTTTTCTATCAAGCTCTTTCGGGTTCTTAGGTGGCAGTCCAAACCGCGGGCTTACAGCCAGCATAAACCAATTTTTTCAAAAAAAAAAAAAAATCATATTCCTACTTAATTGCATCATTTTTTTGGTACCTGAATGGCTGAATTGTTTATTGATTTAGCATTTTCATACCTGTTTAATATAGCAAAACCATTTGATAAAAATCAATTTAAAATGAAATCTATTAATTCAAAGATTATATATTAAAATGTCCAAAAGACATTGTTCAAATACAATATCCAATTGACATATAAATAGTACAAGAACTTAAAAAAAAATAATCAAATTCTCTAATAATGCAGCACATCTTCCAATGCAAATCCACTTAACATATTGGTTGAACCTGCAAATCAAAACATATCAATATTAGAATTATATTCAAATATTTAAACTATAAAGATAAGAATAGTAACTAAAATTTACATGGGTTGAATTCTAAGCAATTAATTGGAATATCAATAGTAGTTCAAAATATTCTATAGCATCCATAAGGGCATACTAGCAATGCATTACTTATCAAGGGCAAACAACATCAAAGGTGGGCAGATTCAGTCCTCGCAAAACTGTGTTCACACCGTTCTCACAGCCCTTTTCAGCCATGCACCCGGAACATCTCCATGTTATCAATACAGCCTTCTGTTTGACCATCCAAAATATATAGGCACATCGATAGAAGGTGCCAACTAACTTTCTTGTAATGTATGGCTGGACATTGCAGAGGCTTGAGGTTGAATCCTGCCTTCACCTGGGTTTGGGAGAGAGCTACCCGATTAGCCCATTTTCCCACAAAAAAAAAAAAAAAAAAAAAGATTTGATCAATCTAATAGATGCTCTACCATTTGAGAATTTCGGCCCCATTAGCAATAACCATTTGAGCAATGTGAAATGTTGTGCCTTACATTTAGCCTTAAATATCATCTACTAGCATACAAATAAAGAAGTTGATGGGTTAAGAAAGGATGTGAAAGTATCACCTTCTTCCCTCAAATACAGCCTCTGGTTCTCCTTGGATCACCATATACTTTGTGCCACCAAGGTGTAAGCCAGTTGGAGCAAGTGATCCAGGTTCAGCAAAGTCATTCATGATGGTAGTTATTTCCTCAGGTATAAATTACAACAATAACACATAAGAGCAATGGATTATGATTCCCAAAATAAAAATAACAGAAATAAACAAGAGCAAAATCATTAACACAAAATCTTTCTTTGGGGTTAAACTACACTACAGTCTACACTACTGGAAAATTGTCTTAAGGCTGAATAACCCATTATTTTCTAAATCAGTAAAAATCATTGCCAGATTTTCCCCTGAAAGGAAAGCCAGCCAAATATGAGTATATGAAAAAAAAAAGGAAAATTGTGGATATCAAACTTATGCTCTGATATAAAATGCTTAAATATATGGTAACTAACTGCTGATTTTATTAGGATTAGCTTGAGGATCAGTTTGACATCAACAAAAACAACAGAATAACACTACCTTTTGGATCTGTTTGGATTGAAGAACTGCGGGAATAAAGAAAACAAACTTAGCTTGTCAAACTATATAAACAAGACTCAGGCAGGTCGATTCCATGGTTCTTATGTGTCTCTTGCCCAAATTATGACTAGTATTTCCAAATATTTTTCAACTAGAATATGATAAAAGCATGATATGCTAGATATTGGCTTGCAGAATTATGTGGCTGAAAATTTCCTAATTTAACACCCATGCCCTGTCTCCCTTTAAGGTCACCTACTTCATTCATATGATGAAGCTGCATGCAATCAATATCAAAATATTAAAGGTAAACTAGTGGTCTTATGACACCTACAAGTCTGACTTAATCTGAGACTCAACATTTTGTAGCTGCACCCAAATTCTTCAGAAACAGATACCAGGAACTCAGAGCTTTTCTTGCTTGTCTGCAACTTCATTTTGGTTTTAAATCTTTCCAAAGCCAATGCAAATAGAGTAACAGCCCTAATACCTGTGATCTACAGATCTTCCAATTTCTGGTTGAAAAAAAAAATGCATAAGAAATTCGACCACTTTATAAATTTCCACGACAAAATATGATGTTGTAAGATCTTACATGGGTATTAAAGGATCTGGGTTTGCCATCAGAAAATCATGAACCTTGTGAAGTGAAAATTGCAAATTATTTATTAATAATATAGCCTGCATATGTTCTTGATATAAACTGGAGAGCGTAGGATGACTTATATGCATGAATTAAAATCTTTCAATCAGTCAAACCGGTCAAAGTTGGATTTCCTTTTTTTTTTTTAATCAATTTGATGAAATGGCCAAATGGGGTTTCCTAATTTTTCTAATTAATCTTAGATTTATTATTCATTTCTCTAATGACGAAGTTGCATGCCGACTGCTGTAAGATGGTTTTGAATCTTTGGTATTACAGCTCAATATCCATGGATAGAGTTTGGTGTTCATAACTTATGACTCAACTGGGGCTGAAGCATTAATCACTTGATCTTACCAAAGGGCCGGTCACTTAGTAGAAAGAGTCTGTTATTAAGATATAGTCAAAATCTATGTTGAAGTTTAAGTTATATAGTTAGGGAAACTGACAAAATAATCAAATTCCAATGAGTAGTGCTCTAGCATTCCATGTCACAAGCTATGACTTGGATATTTTTCCTTTCTTTTAGTTTGTGGTGGGCCTTTGGTTCTAGAAACCTGTAGGATCCGATACTAATATCAACTACATCCATTTGCTTATTTGGCATGGTACAGTAACATTAATTAATTACCATAATCTAATTGATTTTTGATTCAGAGGATCTCATGGTGCCCCTCTGAAGGTACCCAAGTTCCTCCCATTCTCTCAATAGGAGATGTAGCATGGGTATCCATTTCTACAAAGGAAAGACACTACTGTAATTGCAAGTAGTTCACCAATACCTTGGCAATAAAGCTCTTTGAAACTACAATCACAGATATAATTGGCGCACCCAAACCTTTAGACAGACAGGCCTGGTATACATGTTCAATCAAGAGATAAAGATGCAGAAATCAAGTCATTTTATAATATAGTGGGGGAAAATGAACCATTAAACAAAATTAAGGAACGACTTCTATAAGTTCACACAAGGCTGTTGACCTTGCACGTCAATCAGGTAAATGTAGAAGAGATTTCATTAAAAAGGGAAGAATAAAAACAAGGGAAATAAAGGTAAAATTGCAAAATAATTAAAGAGAACTATACCAAAACTGAATCAGCAGCTTGTACAAGCCTACTAACAGTAACTCAAAGGGCCTGGCACCAAATACCAAAGTTAGAAGTGCAGAAATAGTAACAACAAGCATATGAAATGACACCACATAGCAGTACTGCAACATTTAAGGAAAATAATTAGAGTTCCTTGCCCATCAATTGAGAGCAATATAACTTTTTTTGGGGTGATTTCCTCAGAAGCTTTGGATATAACCATCATGAAACGAATGCATTCATGAATCTTTCTCATCTTTCCTTCACAATCATTAGTTGTTAGATATAGAAACTAAGCATGTTCAGGTCATATCTGAATCCAACAGGATGCATATCTGAATTTCCAAAGGGAATTGCATTTGGTCTGAGCATGCTCGGGTCATACATGCTTTGAAATGGAGTTGTGAAGAAAGGATCACCAAAAGGAGCCCCTACTTAGCCTATCCTGTAGAGAATTCCGGAGAGCACCTATGACATGAGAATTGTGTCACACAACCATTAATAGAACAATCAACAAGTAGCACCATTTTCACTAGCTAGCTGAAAGAGGATACAGGATGACCAAAATAAAGTAAAATAAAATAGAACAAAAAATTAAATTATTGGTAATAGTCATCAGAGCTATAGTCAGCAATCTTTGAATGGATAAAGATTGAAGACAGGAGTGCATAAGATGGCCCTTCCATATCAGCTCACTGCAAAGCTATAGCTTTAAATGTCTTATTCCTAGCCCACCCTATGACTTAGGTTTGCAGATTTGCTCCCAACCCACTAAATGGTACTTGTGAGCCTCTTTCCAGCCTTTCCAAAGAAAGTTTCTATCTCCCATCCCACCCTGTGTTATGGACGCCTTCCTCGGGAAGACGTACCATCGCCGCCGACAGCAACAGGCACCTGACCCACCACCAGCAGCAGCAGTGATTCAGTGATGGTCATCCTACCCAGTTCGGCAACAACAGCCTTATCTAGATTAGATTAGCTCATTTTGCTTGTTCTTATCTTATTGTTCTTATCTCTTATCTTATCTTGTTAGTAGCTTATCAGATTATGTTCTTATCTCTTATATTATCTTGTTAGTAGCTTATCAGATTAGGATTAGCTTATCTTATCCT